TTCCCCTGAAGGGCAGCCCTAGGGCACAGGAATGCTCCTCCCAATTTAGTGTCAGTGACAAACGTGGTGGCAGTTTCCTCCTCTGGGTGATGGATACAGGTGTTCGACTGCACAGGAGAGTCCCCTTCAGCACTGCTCGCTCAGCCTCATCATCCCACTGGTGTTTTACCCAGCTCTTTGTCTCCCCATCCAGACTGTCATGGCCTAATGTGGGCACAAGGGTAGTGAGGGAGACCATGCCCAAAGTCTTGCTGAAGTGGAGGGCAATGACATCCACTCTTCTCCCCTGGTGCAGAAAAGCAGTGACTTCTTCATGAAGGCAATCGGGTTGGTGAGCCATGAGTTACCCTTGGATAATCCATGCTGACTGCACTGGGACACATTCTTCTCTTTTAGGTGCCCTAAGAGGTCACCCAAGAGCATTCGTGCCAAGGCACACTTGTCACCAGAGTGAGCTTGTACAGCCTGGGGTTCCCTGGGGTACAGTTTGGGCCTCGTTCAAAGATGGGTGTAGCATTGGCTTGTCCTCACTCGCAAAGAGACCTTTACCAATGCCATGACCTTTCAAAAGGGATATTCCAAAGAAATATTCATTTTCCAGTGTAACAACATTACCACTCTTCTGCATGTTCTACAGTGCATTTAATTTCTTAAATCTTTAATTTATTTTCATCTCTCTTGATAGAACAACCATTGCTAAGGTCATCTTTTCCCATGCAGACTGCCTAGGCAAAGGCTCTTTCCATTGTTCTCCACTTTTCTCCTCCCCTTACTCTTTCTTCATCCTCATTCCTGTCACCCAGACAATTGCTGCTTTGACATCAGGCAGTTAGAAGTTTGCCTGTCTTTCAGCAGTCTAATTGTCTCCTCAGACAACTCTTTATTTGTGTTTTCATCTACCTTTGTTTATCCACCTACTTAAAATATCTCTCCTAAGCTTATCCCTTGTCGAAAGGCAACCTCATGAGAGGCCGCCCCTACTGAGCATGTGCTTGCAGAGTGAGTTTTGTTTATGGAACTTGGTCATGCTTGGCTTTTTTTCTGCTTGCCAATAGGAAAACATCCCTCAGTGCC